GACTTAAACAATAGAAATTTATTTTCTCAGAGTTCTAGAGGCTGGGAAATCTAAGATCAAGGTCCTGGCCAATTTGGATCCTAGTGAGCCCACTTCCTACCTTGCAGATGGCCACCTTCTCATTGTTTTCTTTCATGGCAGAGATAGCAAATTCTGGTATCTCTTCCTCTTATAAGGGTGCCAGCCCTATCAGGTTAGGGCCCCACCCATTTTGACCTCCTCTAACATTTAGCACTTCCTCATAGGCCCTATGTCCAAATAAAGTCACATGGGGGTTAGGGCTTCAACACAGGAATTTGGGGGGGGGTCAGTCCACCAACAACTTTCTAATTACTATCTGGACCTTTTCCCACCACCAAGAAATAAGAACTTTGGCCTGCCTGCCCAACTTTGAGAAGAGGCTTCTGGGCAGAGAATTGGAACCAAAGAGCCAATTACCAATAATGTTTTATTGGAATTTGTGTCATCACATAGTCTTTTAAAGGCGCTAAAGGAAAAGGGATGAATTATTCAGTAAGTTCTGTTTGGAAAATTGGTATAACATTTAGAAAAAAATCCCTTTAGATCTTCACTCTATACTTAATTCTAAAACCTTCCAGATGCATTATAGGGTTTAACATTTTTTTTAATTACAAGAAAATATTGATGAATATATATCTTTTTATGGGTAAAAAAAGGCCTTTTTTAGTTTAAGAATAAATCACTGAGGTAAATATGTTTAGGTTTGACAAATACCTTTTAACTAAAAAAAAAAAAACCACTATGAGAAGTCAAACAGCAATATGGGAAATATATTAGTAGCCAACATGATGGACAAAAGGTCCATATTTTCACTACATCTATATCCTCTGCAATTCAATTAGAAAAAACAAAGTTCCCAGTAGATACATATAAGTAGAACAGAGACAATTTATGAGGATGGAAAATATCCAATTTGTTCTTTCTTCAAAGAAACTTGAATTGAATTGAAACACGTACAGTTTGTTGCTATTGAAGAAGTAAAGATTTTTTTAAGTGAAATTGTAACTTTATACATTACTTCTAACAATATAGTGCTACCCTTTTAGAGAACAATTTTACAGTAATTTTATAGCATTTTCTGTGTGCCCTGCAATTTTACATATTTTAATGAATCCTCCCAATATCCTATAATACAGGAACTTCAATTTTCCTTATTTTAGAGATGAGAAATTGAGGCACAGGAAAGGTAACTTCCTCAAAATCACATAAATAAGCTAGTAAGTGGTAGAGATATGACTCAAACTCATTAGTCCTACTTTGGGGATATTTTTCCTCATGAAATCTGAAAATTTGGTTGGGGGCATCTTTACCACAGGAGATACTCTGCACCATTGTATCCTCCCCTTTGTTGACATGTTGGTATTTGTGTTCATGCTGTTCTTGCTGCTTCAATATCCTTTCTCACCTCCTCTGGCTTGGAACAAATGTCATTTCCCCCAAGAGCATTTCCTGAGCCTCTTCAGTCTTGACCTCCCTATGTCTCAGTGTCTTCTGCCACCTTCCAGATTGGATGTCCTTTTGTGTGTTCCATAGCATCTACTTAACCAAGTTTTTTCAAATGTTCTGGCCATGTGTCTCCCCCCACCACCACATGTCCTACTGCTGATTGACTGCAGGGACTGTGTCTATCTTAATTTTTGTATCCCTAGTGCCCAGTACAGTGCCACATATTAGGCTTTTTCCTTTCCTTGTTAACATTTTCTTATTTTACAAAGTCTGTGCAAATTAATGTAACTTCATCACTTTTATCATTATAAATACAGTGACCAGCACAATTAAACATGACTGAATTATTAAAGTCTATGTAGAGTCAAGTTTCAACCAATTCAACTGCGTTCTTTTTAACACTTAAAAATGTATTATTTGGCATTGTTGCTTAGTGGGGCTTTGTTTGTTTTTGTTAACACTGCTATCTCTCTTAGACCGAAAAAAAAGAAAAGAAAGAAACAAAAAATCCATATCTAAAAGATAGGGCTCTACCTAATTTAATTTTTTTAAAGATTTTATTTAATTATTAGAGAGCAAGCACACGAGTGGGGGGAGGGGCAGCGGGAGAGGGGAGAAGCAGACTCCTGTGTTGAGCGGGGAGCCGGACAACACGGGGCTTCATCCCAGGACCCTGGGATCATGACCTGAGCTGAAGGCAGATCCTTAACCGACTGAGCCACCCACGCATCCCATAATTTAATTTTCTGTTACTTTATGAACTTCCTCTTTCAAGGTCAATTCATAAAATTGGCCATGAATCAAATTTCTACAGTGTTTCAAATTTTGGTTTGATTTTGCTTTTTGTTGCACTGATCCTAGCCAAGATCCCTCTTTGATAATGCAAAGTAATTTGATTTTTCTTTAAAAATTGGTGCTTGTTTCAGGTGTATGGGTGGCTCAGTCAGTTAAGCTTCATACTCCTGATTTTGGCTCAGGTCATTACCTTAGGGTTGAGAGATCCAGCTGACATGGGGCTCCATGCTCAGTGGGGAGTCTGCTCTGAGATTCTCTCTCCCTCTGCCCCTCCCCTCACCGAACCCCCAATTGTGCATGCACTCTCTCTCTCTCTCAAAATAAATAAATCTTTTTAAAAAACTGGTGCTTGGTTCTTGTTTGTTTTTAGAATTACTGAAGGAGCAATGGTTCATGGAAGTATTGCTCAGGGTATTTTTTCCACCAAGAGACACAAATGTTTCTGTTAGACTTTTATCCTCATAATCTCTATTTTAAATATGGTTTATTGTAAGTTTATTGTTGGCCTTTATAGGTTGGCTGCTATTGTGCTAGAGGTCAGGGATCATCTTTTTTGGTGTCAAGTATATTGTGGCTGTCTCAAAGATAGCACCACATCTCTTATTTGGGTGTTTCAGATGTCTCTTACCTTCCCTTAGTAACAAGCCTATTCAAAAAACTTGCTACTTTTAACTGCCACTCTTATTCCCAATTGAAAATATAATTTAAACATTATTATATTTTAAAGATGGATAAAGAATTATGCAAAAATGATAAACCTTAATATTTTGGGTATTTTGGGTTATCACAGAACAAGATGTGGTAGAGAAAGAAATAATCGGTGTGGTCCTTTTTTAGAAAAAGGAAATACTTGATAAGTAGGAAGTTGATGTGATTTGTGTGATACTTTTAGAGGCCAATGAGATATTTTATTTTAAATTCAGAAGAAAAAATGAATATTATCCAGTCTGGACTATACTTGTCTTTATACCAACCTGGTAGTAAAGTAGAATTTTTAATATTTTTTTACAGAGGAAGAGGCCCATAAAGGCAAAAGTGCCACAAGGGCCCATGAAAGTCACAATGTGATCCCACAACAGCATAAGTCTATTTTTTCCTATTTTTTATAGACACTGCTATTTTAAAATTTTCTTCTATAATTCAGCAGTCCATATGCTTTCTCTTTGTCTTTTGTCCCCTATAATCCGGAGCCATCTGTGTATACTGAAGGAGTTACACATTTGAGTGTGTACATTTGAGATCAGTTCATCACATTGGGGAACGCGAATATTGACATCATTACCACCAGGGCCTTGCACTTATTAACATTAATAAATGATAGTATAATATTAGGCTTACTTTATTTGAGGATCTCTAGATCAATAGTATTTTAAAGTGGAGGCAAACATTTCTAGACTATAGTCGGATGTACTAAAAATAAATTACATTCTTAATTTTTTGGTAACTTCTGACTTTGCTCTGAAGCCCCTATTCCCATAGTGGGGAAAAGGGTCCAGTTACAAAGAGACTAGCTAGCCAGTTATACAGATAATTCCATCTATTTGGACTCAGTAGTATCTTTTGGATAAATGTTCAGTCTCTCAGGCTTCTCTTTCCTTCTTTTTCCTAAAGCATTTGGATTAATGACTTTCAACTTCAGTTTGGGAGGGTGTTCCTGCTTCTGTTTTTGGAACACTATATTTACTAGAGATGAGGAGGCTAAGGGAAATATGTGGCTGGGTTGAGGAGGTTGACGCCAGTGGTATGTGCTAATACTCTTCCTACTTAGATTCCTCCATCAACTATGATGGAGCAGAAACTGTCTCATATATGTAAAGAGCATTTAAAGTTTAGAAGCAAGCCGTCTTTTTTCTCTCTATAAAGTGTGATTTTCAAGATTAAAAAAAATTAGCTTTGGGCCTTGAAGCTGACCAAAGATGTTTTAATTCTAGGCTGTATTCTCCTATCCTCCTATAGCAATAAGACAGATGTTTTGGCCTTAATAACCAAAGGGGCTTGGTGAAAGAAACCTGCTTAAGGATAAGAGAAGATGCCTGAATAGGCAGCTGCATGTATTAGCATAACGGTTAAGAGGATACACTTTGAAGTCAGATAAAACCGGGTTCAAACCCCAGTTGCTCCATTTATTGGCTTTTTCATTTTGAGAATGTTATTTGACATATCTGAGCCATGGTTTCTTCATCTGTAAAATAGGTGACAAAGTTTTTTCAAATGAGGATTAATTAGTTAATATATGTGAAACATTCTGTACTTTATACATAGCAAAGATGTAAGTGGTAATTGTTAAACGTACTTAAGAATTTGTTTGCAAAGGAAAAAAAATGGACATGACGCTGGGTGGAAGCTAGAACTATTTAGGCTGTTAGGTATGGATATTTCAAGTTCCAAGGAAAGAAACATGTTCCGATAGTCCCTCTAATAGAATTCCTTATAAGGATATGTGAGGAACTAAAGGACTAAGGAGATAAGGAGACCAGGAATCACAATAATTCTAGTGAAGTCTGGCTGTGTGGTAATCTGACTATGAATCTACTGTCTGCAATCTGAAAGATCCTATCTAACAGAGAAATGCATACTTAAAAATTAGTTCACTCTTGTTCATCTACATTGCTAACAAAGTCAAGTACAGTAAGATTGAGCTGATTAATGTTGTTTTAAAGGAGATTTAAATGAGCTGATTAATGTAAATAAATGAGAGGTGACAAGATGATCTTGATTTTCCCCACTTTTCCAATCAGGTGGTGAATGGAAAATTCATTATGAGACACAACTTGAACTGAATGATCAACTAGAAAAGCAAGTTGTTTCTCTAGAAGAGAAAATGGAAAAAATCCGTGGAAATCCTTCAGGTACAAAAGCAACTATATATATATGTTTTATAAGTTGAGTTAAAAATGATAAAATATTAATTGTTAATATTTTCATATTTGTTTTGTTGTAGATGGATTGTCTTCTATCTGTGTCTATGAACAAATGCCAGTGGTGAGTAAAAGCTGGTTAAACAAAAAGAATAATTGAAGGAAAGAAATTATGTACTTTTTTTTTAGACAGGTTCCAAAAAATGTTTGAAGACTGTGGCAAGTTCCAAAATATTTTGTTCAGTGGAACTGTTTCTAGGAAGTAAGGAATCCTATAGCAGATCCTTCAACTTAATCTCCACCTCATAAAGCTGGTCAGGGTTGCAGGTACAAACAAAATGGAAGAAAAGAATCTCAATAGTCAGTCCAGGTAGAACCTGAGTGTATCTACTTCCTGTGACCTAAAAGAGCCTATTAAACACAAATATATTTCATACCAATCTAAAAACATTTCCATTCTAGTTCCTCTGGAATATACATATACACATGTAGATATATACATACATACATTCACATTCACACACACAATGTATAAAATCCAACAGAGAACCCATAAAATTATTCTATAACATGAAAGAAACCTTATTACACTGATTGACCTACTTTTTCTTTGGGTTGCCCTAGTGACAGCCTTTCCTCCTGATAAATTACTTGAATTTATATGTTTTATACTTTACAAAGCACATTTGTTTCTCATTTGTTTAAATGTTTATTTTTTAAAATGTAGAGAAGACCTAAAGCATGACTTATGCGGGTCTCGAGCATTCTTGGAAATAGCCTTTTCTTTAGAATTCATGCTGAATTTTTATTTCAAGAATATTCAGAAAAACATGGAAATCATAAAAAATCAAGGGTACTTTATATGAAAATGAAAATACAATACGCTGCTAAATTGGCAGGACCACACAACCCAATGAGATAAAATTTAATATTATTTCCTTTAATACATGTGACACTAAGCTTAAAACAATTAAGTGATTTGCTCAGAATCACACAGTCTGGAAATGTGGAGGTCGATTCTCTTTCTCTAAAAAAATATATGCCCGTTTGACTAGATCGTACTATGCCAACAGCCATTCTATACTGCTTATCAGAAATAACATGTTTTTTAATAGCTTTATGTAGAGCACTTAACTGACTGCTATATTCACAGAGGTCCTGAGGACCAGAGCATTATAGAGATTGCTCTTTGAATAACTGCAGATCTTTAGTGAAAAATACAGAAAAATATCATAGTTTTAAAAATAATAAATCAGGGGAGAAATAACCTAATTTTTCCACCTCTTGTTATTTTCAACCCAGAAATACCTTTATTTCTGTGTCTTGGAAAGTCAGGAAAAATCATGGAGTCGTATCCCCATCTTGTGGTATTTAGAAATTGCCGCAAGGGCTATTTTAAGCCTTGTCTTTATTAATTGTGGATAGGATTTTAATTCTACCTATAGAATATAAAATATAGAATACTAGCTACAGAACATAAAATATTCTGACTCCCAGTTTCTTGATAACTCATCCTCAGTGCTAGCTCAAGAAATTGGGTATCACCAGCCTTATGGAGAATAGCAGTAAGTGCTGGTGGGACCTGCTATGATGATTTACAGCATATGTAAGAAGCAGTTGATTGGTTTTCTAATTGCTACCTCAGACTCTGTAACATACTCATGTTGACAAAAAATTTCTTTCCTTTGATGAGTTTGTGTTATTCTTGAAAAAAAAATGTGGTTCTCTAAGATGTTTAGATCTGGAGGCAGAGAATTATATTTCTCTTCAGTAAAGGACTGAAGAAATGTTAAAAAAACCAAGAGTGGGCCATGTACCCAGCAGAAAAGAAAGATAATGAAAGTTCAGGTGTTTAAGGAACTGGTTCTCTCTATTCTGTAAGCATAGGCATGCATGAGTATTTGGGTTTTCTTATACAGTGGAATCTGGGAGGAGTTTGTATGAACAGCAGGTGTTAGGAAACCAGCCAAAGAGCTGGTGGTGGAAGTAGCCAATTACTGAGCAAAAAGCACTGGGATCCAAGAATCCTGTATCTAATGATGAAGTCTTTTATTCAAGGAAAAAGATAGTATACTAAGTCTTATTCTTTATATAAAAACAATATTTATGAAATTCAGACACATACTTTTAATGAAATGCAGACATTTTCTATTAGGTTGATATTTAGAGAAAAGGGTTTAAATTGTTTTGGGGGGATAGGATATGAATTCAAACACTATTTGTAAATTTACTGATTCTTTATCCTTGTTGTAGATTGTTTGGTCTTTAAGAGTAACCTATACAGACATATTTAAGAAATTGATGTCAGTTTGAATACTAATTTTGAGTAACTTCAAATTTCAAGTTTGCTTATGGGCAAAAACAGGGATGAATACCAATTTTTGACCAATATGTATGTAATTTTTAAAAAATGTTACCATTTGAAAAAGAAATAAATATTAAAAAAGTAATTTACAAACTGGATCATTAAAGTGGACTTGATTTTAATATTTTAGAACAAGGATTCACTTAAGTGAGTAAATTTCTGATAGAGACTGGCTTCAAGCCTTCAACCTTTTTGAAGATTATTTTTCTCATCCTCAGGTACTATAGATGAGATAATCTTTAAAGTGCCTTTCAGCAGTATAATTTATTAATATTTAATTTTAGCAAGATGTTTCAGTAAAGGGTTACATTTGGCTGCATGTAAGAGAAAGGCTTAAACAAGTAAGGTGTTTGGTTCTGTTTTCTCACATAACAGGAAGTGTTAGAGGGATGCAGTCCCCGTTGGCAAAGTAGCTCCTCCAGGCTCCTGACTTGACTTTCCACTCTGCCGTCCTTTAATGAATAGCTTTTGTTTGCCATGCTCACAAGATGGCTGCTTCACGTTCTCACCTGCTTCACCTTCTCTTTCAATAGAAAGAAGTAGGTGAAGGGAAAATGGCAAAGTGGAGGCCAGTCAAATTTGTTTTCTTTCAAAGCATTTTCCAGCTTGCTGCACACAGTCTCCCCTTACATCTCATTGGTTAAAACTGCATCATATGGCCTCCTGTATTGCAAGAAAGGCGGGGAAATTTAGTGTTTTACTGAGCATAGTAGTAGGAAGAAGGGTAGAATGAGTATCTGTTATGCAATTAGCTCTATTTGCCACACAAGATCACTTTCAATGAGTACCATTTCTTTTTTTTTTTTTTAAAGATTTTATTTATTTGAGAGAGAGAGCTCGCACAAGGGGGTGGGGATTGGGGGTGAGAGAGGCAGAGGGAGAGGGAGAAACAGACTCCCCACTGAGCAGGTAGCCTGACTCTCAACTGGGGGCTCCATCCCAGGACCTTGAGATTATGACCTGAGCCAAAGTCAGATGCTTAGATGACTGAGCCACCCAGGCACCCTAAGTACCATTTCATTTTAAAGTAATATGTATTCATTTAATACTATTTGGAAAATAAAAGACAAAGATAAATATTAAGTCAAATATATCTACTATTGACCTCTTTTTTTAAAGTTCTGCATGCATGTATATTGATTAAAAATTACAACCCAATAAATAAATGAACCCCAAAAAGGAATAAATAAGGATGACACTTTTAAAATATATATATAATATTGGGCGCCTGGGTGGCTCAGTTGGTTAAGCGACTGCCTTCGGCTCAGGTCATGATCCTGGAGTCCCAGGATCGAGTCCCGCATTGGGCTCCCTGCTCAGCAGGGAGTCTGCTTCTCCCTCGGACCCTCCCCCCTCTCATGTGCTCTCTTTCTCATTCTCTCTCTCAAATAAATAAATAAAATCTTTTAAAAAAATAAATAAATAAAATAAAATAAAATAAAAAATATATATAATATTAACCCTATTTCGTGGACAATTTTGTGTCCTGTACTAATCATGGACAATTAAACCAATAATTTCTTATGTTATATTTTATTCATGTATATTTTTAAGAACTACATTACATTTCATTGCATTGGATTATTAATGTTCAATTCCTTTTCCCTATAGTTGAATATTTTAGGTTATTTGTGGTTTTAATTTTGAATAAAATAAAACCCACAGAGGATAATATGGCAAACAGTATATTCTAGTATTAGCAAATCTTTAATTTTTGTCACTTTTTGATTTCAAATGTTTTAATGAAAACAATCTATGGAGTTGAGGACCCTTTCATTCCCTTTGTGTCTCTTTCCCTTTATAGGCAAGTATGATCATGGATTTGGTATATACCATTCTAATTTATTTTTAAATACCTTTTTCCAGATATTGTGTCTAAAAATGCATGTAAAAATATATTGTACACATCATCCTTTTTTTATTTGTCCATGTTAATGCATAAAGATCTGGTAAATTTTATTTGCTACGTAGTATTCTACTATACATATATAGTATAATAACACATATCTTAATTTATTTATTCCCCTATTTATGTACATTGGGGATTTTTCAAAATCTCACTGTGACAAACATTGCCGCAGGGAACATACTTATACATGTCTCCTGATACAAAGTGTTCCTCCAGAATTGGCTAATTTTTCTGTAGAGGGCTAGATAGTTAACACTTTCAACTTTGCAGGCCATTTGATCTCTGCTGCAACTATTTGATGCTGCCATTGTAGTGTGAAAGGAGAAATTAATAGGTAGGGTTTTATTCTAACAAATCTTGGCTTACAAAAACAGCCTGTGGCTGGATTTGGTCTTCAGGCTATAGTTTGCTGGCCCTAGCTTTAAGGCAGTGGTCCTTAAACTTTGGTAGGTAACAGAATCACGTAGGGAACTTCATAAAAATACAAAGGCCAGCCCTGTCCTTCAACCAGCTTGCCACTTCTGAGTTCTTTATTAACTTTCCAGATAATTCAGATATACACCAGAGTTTGAGAACCACTGCTGTAGTGCACATAGAGTGAAATATTTATATCATGGGATTTGCACATTTTCAAATAATGATAAAATCCCTCTGGATCAATCAAAAGACACCTCAGGTCTGCAGTTAGTTCTGTAGGTCTGTAATAAATAAAAGAAGTGATGGGAGATAAGACTGGAAATATAAGCAGAGCCTCGATAACAAAGGATTTTGTATGCACGTGAACATTTTTATATGTGGTGGGAAGCTTTTGAAGTATTTAATATACAGTTTAAAAGCCTTCCCTCCCCCC